ATAATACAGTCTTGAGTCTTAAGTTCACAAGAAATAAGCCTGAAATTTTTGTGTTACAATCTTAGAATCCTTTCTACTATGGATATTATTAGTCCTTGTTCATAAGGCTCCTAAGGCCTTCAACTGATTGACTATAGCCCACTCACATTATTGAGGATAAAATTTATCACAAGTTTATGGATTAAAAAGTTATGTATATCTGAAACATATCTTTGTGGCAATGTTTAGACTGGTGTTTGACCAAACGGCTGGGTATCACAGACTGACACATAAAATGAATCCTCACAAGTAGATAGTAGAGTCACTGTAGATACCCTCTCTACTATACATGATCTTCTATATTATTAATGTCTTTTATTTCCACTGCTCATTCTGTTAAAATTGGTGGATCAATATTCACATGTTATTGTTAGGATTTTTGTGTATCATTGTATATGAAGTAAGGTTTTTATTGTAATATTTTTTGAATTTTTTAAATTGAATTTTTGTGCAATTCATACAATGCATCTTAATTATAGTTAGACCTCCTCCCTCTTCTTCACCCTCCATAGCCCCCCCACTGGAATTCATGCATTCTGTCATAAATGTTAAAGATCTATCAAGTCAAATTTGTATACCTAGATGTCAGTGGGTGTGAGTTCCTCCATTGGAGTCTAGTCAGCCTACCTAGATCAACTCTCCCTCACCCAGCAGTGATCAGCTGCCTTGGCTAAGGCTGGGGCCACCTGTCCCCTTACCCTAGTTCTGTGCTGGTTTTTGTCTGATGGAGTTTGCCTGGATCTTGTGCATGCTGTCACAATTGCTATAAGTTCATATGAGCAAGTTCCCAGAATCCTAGAGGATTCTGTTTCTTTATCTTCATGTACCACCTCTTACAATCTTACAATCTTTTTGCCTCCTCTTCTGCAATGGTCCCTAAGTCCTGGATGGGTGAGTTTTAATATAGGAATCCTACCAGGGAAATATACCCTGCAGTCTCTTATTCTCTACACTTTGGCCAGTTGTGGCCTTCTCTGTACATCACACTCTGTTTGGATGAGGAAGCTTCACTGCTGAGAGTTGAAAGATGCGTTAGTACTCTTTCTACCCTTTGTTCTGCTCTGTTCCATGAGCCACCAGTATAGAGGTTTCATTGTAGGTGTGGCACTTAGGGCTGGGCACCTCAAAGACACTTATTCTTAGTGTGTGACCACTTGTGAAACTCTGTAATAACCTCCATCTGTTGCAAAAATAAGCTTATTTGATGTGATTGGTATACTTTTTTTTAACATTTTATTTATTATTTTTAAGTGTATGAGTGTTATGCCTGCATGTAGGTAAGTGCACCTGTGTCATGCCATGCCTGCGAAGGACAGGAGAGGCTGTCGGATCCCCTGGAACTGGAGCTACAGACAGTTGTTGGCTGCTATGGGGGTGTTGGGATTCAAACCTGGGGCTTCTGCAAGAACAGTCAGTGTTCTTAACCTCTGAGCCATCTCTCTAGCCAGTAGTGGCACTTTTGTCTAGAGGTTATTCAACAGCTGTATAATTGCACGTAAAGCCCTCTCGATGGGAGGGAATTCATGGGGGGCACTGTAGAACATAGTCAAATACACATAGCTGGAGAGGTTATAGATCCTAAAGAAAACCCTGGAATCCTCCTCCATGAAGACTAGATCTCATAGTTCTAGAGGGTACTATGCAAGTTGCTAAGGGAGAAAATCAATAAATCGTCCAACCGTAGCTTTAAAGCCTAATAACCACAACAATGACCAGAATAACAAACTATAGTACAGTAGTGGCACTTTTTAAAATATTTTATGTATTATTATGGAGTTTATTCAACTCCATTGCTCCAAGTCCTGTGTTCAAAGTATGTTCTGTCTTCAGCAATAATTCTAGTTCTGAGAGGTAATAAGGACTGTGGCAATACTCTCTGTTATTTTTGGATTCTCTCTGACCAAAAACTTCAAAGGGGGTTTCTCCTGTCAAGCACTGTGTTTGTTATGTAGCCTTCAGGTATATACAAACACTCATGCTCAGATATTGTATGTATATTTTTCAGTAGGTTTTTGAGATAATACATTTCCCTCTAGTATTTTACACAACCTAAGGTTTATTTATCTCTCCCTTAACTCTCTACCTGTCTAATCTCCTCCTACCTTCCCAGTTTAAGTACTCCCAATTTCCGCTTGAAAATTCCAGTCTCCTTTTATTCCCCCCTTTCTTGAGCTCCTTCTTCCCCTTTACCCCTATGCTTTCTTGTATAACCTTTCTCTCTTCCCTTCCCAGTTTAATACTTCAATTTTCCCCATTTCCCCCTTGGTAACATCTGTTTCCTGCTATCCTCCCTATCGGACTTTTTCTTTCCCTTTACCTCCATGGTTCCTTTCCATTTTCCTGAGTTATATCAGGATATATACTTGCATATAAAGATTTGGTGCTAAGATCCACAAATGACAGAACATATTTCATTTGTTTTTCTGAGACTGTTACTTCACTTAGTATAACAGTTTCTAGTTCTATCCATTTACTTGCAAATTTCATGATTTCGTCTTTACTGCTGAGTAGAACTACATTGTATAAATGTACCACATTTTCATTAAAACATTTAGGTTGTTTCCATTTCTTTTTTAAAAAAATTATTTATTATTTTTTAAAAAATTTTATGTATATGCATGTATTGCCTGCATATAGGTAAGTGCACTAGTGTTGTATAGTGCCTGCCAAAGTCAGAAGAGGCTATCAGATCCCCTGGGACTGGAATTATGGACCATTGTTAGCTGCCATGTGGGTGCTGGGATTCCAACCCAGGTCTTCTGCGAGAACAATCAGTGTTCTTAACCGCTGAGCCATCTCTCCAGCCCTCAGGTTGTTTCCGTTTCTTAGCTATTGTGAAAAGAGCAGCAACAAAAATGGATGTACAAATATCTCTACAGTAGGATGAGTCCTTTGGGTGTATGTCAAAGAGGGATATAACTGATTATATGGTAGATTCATTTTTAGTTTTTTAAGAGTTCTTCACACTGCTTTCCATAGTGGTTACACAAGTTTATAATCTCACAGCAATAAATAATCCTTCCTCTTCTCTACATCCTTTCTGGCATTTTGTGTTATTTTCTTGATCTTAGCCAGTTTGGGTAATTAATTTATTGTTGTTGTTTACTGGCAGTAGATCTAGGACCTTTTTGAATTCTAGGCAAGTGCTATTTCACTGTGCTATATATCTAGCCCCTGTAGAAGAGTTTGATCACTTTTATTGCTTACCCTGCAGCCCAAGGTGGCCTTCAGCTCATCATCTTCTGCCATGGCCTCCTGAGGCTGTGTGCCACCATGCTCAGATCCAAGATATAGTCAAATACTTGTTGGAAAAATTATTTTAGTGTTCGGATACGGAAGTTAGAAAATTAGCATGAATTACTGGGCACCAGTAGAAATTAAGAAAATGCTCAAAACGTTTCCAAACCAGAAAGATAAAATATATCAAAGGGTAGAAAGGAGACAATAAAGAGAGCTTACAGTGACCTTTTTAGAACAATACAAGAAACTAAGTGTAACATTGGATTATTACTTAAAGTATACCATAAATACCTGTGAGTCCATATTGATATAAATTCTTGAATGGTTGTGAAAATGGAGCCAGATTTTTCACATAGAAGAATTAGAAATAATATGTCAGTATTCCTCACAGACATAGAGTGTAATTCCTTTCAACTAAATGTGAGCACTTTTAATAAAGGGGAAAAATAGTGACTTTGTAATGTGGCGAGGCCTGCTGAGTACTCTTTACCCAATAGTGGGGTTAATATCACCTGTGATGTCCTATGCATATCATGTTCCCCTCAACATGTCATGAGAATTGTGGTTCATCTCTGTGGTATTTGGAAAACTCAGAACTCTAAGACCAAAGTGGAAAATGATAATCTTTTTGGGGGAAAGCGTTAGATATACCCAAATCAAAGGTGATTTTGACAAAAATACTTGAATGGTTTTCCACAAAGCTGTCATGGTCATGGAAAAGAAGACAGAATGGTGACCAACAGAGGAGATACAATTACATGTAATGTAGTGTCATGGATGGACAAATGTATTGTGATGTAACATGCCAACAGTAGGCAAATTGGGTAAGGAGACACAGAAACTCTGTGCTGTCAACTTTCCCATCAATCTAAAATTTTTCCAAAATTAAAGTTTGAATTTTTGTTTATTAAAAAAACCTCACTGATACTCTTTTTGATATGTGAATTTCAGTAAATAGAAACTGTATTGTATCAGCTAAGTTTCTCCATTTAACATGTCTTTTTTAAAATATTTTCTTCCTAAAATGGATTAATATATGATATCAAATTTTGTATTCATCATGAGTTCCCATATTCACAAACCATATTTCATTCACATGTAAAATCCAGTGGTCTTTGAAAAGTCACATTAATATCTAAAACTTTTAAACCATAAAATAAGGTAGAGTTACAAATGTATAGCTATTTTGACAGGAAAAAGTTAGTGATTTAATAGATTTTCTTTTTAAGGATCTGAGTTGTGATTGTTTTGAAATTTTTGACTTTGAAAGTACTTGTCTGTACTTTATCAAACTTAGTTGATTAAAAACATAACATTCAGCTGGGTGTGGTGGCACACGCCTTTAATCCCAACACTCCGGAGGCAGAGGCAGGTGGATCTCTGTGAGTTCAAGGCCAGCCTGGTCTACACAGTGAATTCCAGGACAGCTGGAGCTACAGGGAGACCCTGTCTCACAAAGACCAAATAATAATAATAATAATAATAATAATAATAATAATAATAAGAATAACAACAACATTCAGC